GCACCTATGTCACCACATTCAATTCTCACAACACTTGAGGCAGATGCTTTAATTAACCACCTTTTACAGATAAGAAAACTGAAATAGCTAGTAAGTGTCTGAGGCAGGATTTGAATTCAGGTGTTCCTGATGCCTAGTCCAATGCCCTCTCCACTGTGCCACCTAACTGCCCCATTTTGTAACGCCAGTCCCCATACATCTATATAGCGATGCTGTTATGGGGAAAGGATGTAACTAATCAATGAGCTTCGGCGTTGGCCGAGGGCTTTTTAGACAATGAGGGCTTTCCACAGATACCTCCGTGTGTGTGTGTGTGTGTGTGTGTGTGTGTGTGTGTGTGTGTGTGTGTGTGTGTGTGTGTTAGTGGAGATGTGGTGGTGAGGAACAGCCTCATGTGGGGATTCCAGAGAGTTTCTGTAGGAAGGAAGGCCCCTGTGGCCTAGGCATGGAGGAGAGGGAAGAGAGCCAAATCCAGGGAGATATTTCCATGCTCATGAGGGAAAGGCCCCAGCTGGGTGGAAAACATGCCCTTGGAAAGGGCTGGAATGATGCTGGGTGGGAGAGAACAAGTGGAAAGAAGCTAAATTTGGGGAATGCTGGGATTTCCTGAGATAATGGCTACCTCTTAGGGAGAAGTCAGGAGACTGGGGTCCCTGCTCCAGTCAGACTGCTCTTTGTTGTGTGACTCTAGGCAAATGGCTGAACCTGTTTCCCCATTTGTACCATGGGGATAAACAGCTCCACTATGTGGTGAGGCCAAAACAAAGAAATAAACAAACAAACAAACGTCAGATAGGAAAATGCCTTAACCTGTCCGAATGGGAGTCCCTTGAGGACAGCTGCTGTGGTGTTTTGCCTTTATTTGTATCACCAGAACTTAATACCTTGCCTCCCACATAGTAGGTGCTTAATAATTTTTTTTTTCTTTGCCTGATTTAGGAGGAAGGATGCTGGAGAAATTCACATGGAGTTAAAAACACAGCTCATGGCCGTAGATAGTGCCTTGTGGCTATAGAACACTTTACCTTTTCCTCTCATTTGATTCTTATAACAACTTTTCACTATAATATCATTAGTCCCATTTTACAGGTAAGGAAACTGAGGCTCAGATTAAGTTAATTTCCCAAAGTCACACAGCTGGTAAATGGCAAAACCAGGACAAGAATTCTGGATTTTTGATTCCACCTACTCCCTGCTATACCATGCTGGCCCGAGGATCATAGTTTTAGATCTAGAAGAGACCTCAGACATCATCAAGCCCAACCCCATCATTTTATAGATGAGAAAATTAAATCCAAGAGAGATGTGACTTGACTAAGGTCGTATCAGTAGCAAGTAGCTGAGACAAAATTTGAAAACAGGTCATCTGGTTTCAAACTCAGACACTTTGCATTGCGTGGTGATGTCTTTTCTGATGCTCTGTAGTCATGGCTCATATTTCTTAACAGATTTAAGGTGAGTAGTTTTCTTTTCTTTTGTTTTGTTTGGCTAGATCTGTGATTTTAGTGGCATAGGGAAATGCTGGTGAGAAAACTCCCTCTTCCAATGGAGAATGGCAGTTGCTCTGAAGCTTTTAGATTATACCTTCCATCTATGTATACATGCATATATGTATAAGACATAGAGCATATCGTGTAACACATGTATGCACCATGTGTGCATGTATGTATTGTAATACTTGTGTAACACTAAATAGGTGTGTGTTGCTCTTCATTCATTGTGTCTGACTCTGTGATCCCATTTGGATTTTCTTGGCAGAGATCCTGGAGCAGTTTGCCCTTTTCCTTCTCCAGCTCATTTTACAGGTAAGGGAACTCAGACAAACAAAGGCAAAATGACTTGTTCAGGGTCACACAGCTAGTAAATGTCTGAGGCCACATTTGAATTCAGGTCTTCCTGACTCAAGGCCCAGTGCTTTGTCCACTGTACCACTATTATTTCTATTATTATATTATACTTATTATATATGATGGTAGTTATTATATATGGTGTATATACAACTTCTATAGTATTACATATATGCTTATATGTAATAGTAATTATTATTACTATTACTTCTATTGTTATATAATAGTTATTATAAATAATAGTAGTTATTATATAGTGTATATACAACCTCTATAGTGTTACATATATGCTTATATGTAATAGTAATTATTATTACTATTACTTCTATTGTTATATAATAGTTATTATGAATAATAGTAGTTATTATATAGTGTATATACAACCTCTATAGTGTTACATGTACATTCATATTTGATAGTAGTTATTATTATTATTATTATTTCTATTGTTACTAATAGTTGTTATATATAATAACTATTATATATAGTATATATAAATTATAGTGTTACATATACACATATTACAAGTATATGTATACAGTATACATGCATACATATCACATATATACATGTGTACTCACATTATGCACATATACATTAGAAAACTACTATACATATATTATAACACTACACACAGGCACGTAAAATGCACATATGCACATATGTAGGTATATGGATATACACTTATATACATGTGTATGTTTGGTGTTCATTTACTTGAGTTATGTCCAACTCTTCTTGTATATATATACACACACAATATACACATATACACAATAACACACAGTATGTGTGTGTGTGTGTGTGTGTGTATTTACACAGGTTGCCTCTTCCTCTAGACTGTATTTTCCTTGAGGACAGGGGCTGCTTTTTGTTTTTGTTTTTGTCTTTCATTGTATGCACTTAATAAATGCTTGTCGACTGCCACAGTTTTCAAGAGTTGTCTGGGGGCACTGAGTGGTTAAATGCCCTGGCTAGGGTTATACAGCTAGTTATATGACAGAAGCAAGACTTGAACTCAGGTCTTCCTGACTCCATATCTACTATGCTGTGCTGCTTCTCCATCCAGGTTAGTACCTAGGCTTAAATTCCTGAGGAGATCTGGTTTACTTTGGTTAAAAACAAAAGTTTTTGTTTGTATACTTAACTTTTAAAACGTCTCACTTCTAACACTGTGTTTAATTTTGTTTAGTCGTTTTAGTCATGTATGACTCTTTGTGACCCCATTTGGGGTTTTCTTGGCAAAGATACTAGAGTGGTTTACCATTTCCTTCTCCAGCTCATTTTATGAATGAGAAACTGAGGCACACAGCATTAAATGACTTGCCCAGGGTCACACAGCTATTAAGTGTCTGAGGCTGTATTTGAACTCGGGTTCTCCTGACTCTAGGGCCAGCATTCTATCCACTGTACCACCTAGGTGCCCCATTGTGTTTAATATTAGTTACTTAAACTAGAATTCTAATACATAATATAATAATAGTATTATATAACTTTTTAAAAAAAGTTAGTCTACACTTCCTCTGAGTCCACTTCTTCCCAGACGTCCCTCTTAACCTTCTGTCAACTGATTTCTGAAAGCACCATTCACATGAAACTGCCCTGTACGAGATAACCAGTGACCTCATAATTGTCAAATCCAATGACCTTTTCTCAGTCCTCATCTTCCTTGACCTTTCTATAGTGTTAATTTCCCTCCTTTCTTGATACTATAATGCTTGGCTCCTGTGATTGGATTTTTTTTACTGGTTCTCCTGATCACTCCATCTTGAACACCTTGGCTGGTTTACTAGTGCTTTATAAATGTTTTTTTTTGCTTTAACTTGACTCTCTCCCTTCAAGTGAGAGATATCCCATAAAGCTTCATCTTTGACCTTCTTTTCTTCTTCCTACATTAGCTTCTTTTGTAATGTCGCTAGCTTTAATGATCACCTCTGTGCAGATGACTCTCAAATCCTATATATCCAGCTTCAATTTCTCCCATAGGCACAGATAATCTCCTACCTCAAATTATATTTAGCTTTAGAATGTTATAATATGATGTTTGTTATTATGTTGCCTTTTTTTCTTTTTCTTTTCTTTTCTTTTCTTTTCTTTTCTTTTCTTTTCTTTTCTTTTTAGCAGCAGCAGCAGCAGAATTTTCTTCTGAGCATGGTCTTCCTCAGGCTGGTATTAAAACAAGACTGTATTGTTGAATGAGGAATCAAGGCTGTATTGTCTAAGCCCATGCAGCTTCCTCCAGGGGGAGGCAGCTCATGAACACCAAGTGGAGAAGTTGATTTAATATTTGCCTGGCCTCATCAAAGCTGACTCAAGAATCTTGAGAGCTGGAAGGGACGTAGGAAGCCATCTAAGTGAACCTCTTTCTTTCACAGATAAGAAAACTAAACTTCAGAGAGAAATGACTGTTTTTTAAACCCAAATTGGGAAAATAGACAACACTAGCCAAGAATCCCAAAGGTATCTGAGCTGAATCACATGACAACTCACATTTCTATAATGTTTTAAGGCAGGGGTGGGGAATGTGAGATCTGGAGGCCATATGTGGCCTTCTAGGTCCTTGGGTGTGGTCTTTGACTGAGTACAGAATAAATCCTTTTATTGAGGGGATTTGTTCTGCTAAGTTTGGATTCAGTCCAAGAGCTGCACTTGAAGACCTAGAGGGCCACATGTGGCCTCGAGGCTGCAGGTTCCCCACCCCGGTTTTAAGGCTTATAAAGTTCTTTTCTCACAAAAATCTTTTAAAGTAATAAATGAGAGTATTACCTCTATTTCATAGATTAAAAAGCTGCAGCTTAGAAAAATAAAGTCCCAGGATCATAGTAGAATTTAGAGCGGGAAAGGACCTCAGAGGTGATCCAGTACAACCCCTTATTTTTATTGATGAGGAAAATGAGACCCAGAGATGATAATTGAAGAGCTGAGCTTCCAATGCCAGCCTTCCACAAACTGTTCCATGTTCTTTCTACCATACCACCCTGAGTCACTTATCCTCATGATAGTTAAGTCTTGCTTATTAAGCACATAAGAGGAAGGGCGACCTGTTGTAAACACCTTATTTCTGATTAAACAAGCCCTGAGATGGGGCTACCAAACTCTGGGTCACAAGGGTCGTATACCTTTGCTATTCCCCAACAGACTTTGGGATCATACCTCAGGGATGGTCTGGCCAGGATGGATTCGAAAATTGATCATTGCCTGGGAGGTTGAGGGGATGACATTCACCTGAGGAGAAAAAAAATGACACATGTACAACACACGCACTATAGTCTGAACCAACTCCAGATCCCTGTGGACCCAGACAGGCTTCCTTTACCCAGCTTAACAAAGAATGACTGTTGAGAAGTCAGAGAGAGTCCAGATAATGGAAATCTCCCATTAGTCAACTTCCTGGGAAAATCAAGTTATAGAAGGCAGAGGATGTTCAATTTTGTGCTTTGGGTCTGTTTGTCTTCCTACCTCGGGCCTTGGGCTATATAGGTGCTGAGCAAGGGGATACATGCTTATTTTCAGGGCTAGAGACAGGATTCAGCGTGAAGTCTGTGAAACAGGTGTCAATGCCTTCCTTTGTCTGGGCCTCAGTTTCCACATCTATCTAATGGGGAGATCAGACGGATGGCATCCAAGGTCTCTTTCTGGCCTTGTGATTCTGATTCCTCCCTCCTACTTCTATTACTAAATATTCTCTGGGTCTCAAACGAAATTACTGAGGAAGTCTTTCTCTAAACAAGGAGTTTTTTCCATTTAGATTCATCATAGACCAAAAGGCCTTTATAGACCAAATGGGCCAACTCCTCATTTTACATAAAAAAGAAATTGAGACTAGGGATGGGAAGTGACTTATCCAAGGTCACCGAGGAAGTTAGTGACAGAGAACACAATCTCTTGACCCCTAGTGGATGGCTCTTTCATGAAATCATCACCTGTTGAAGCCGGAATAGACTTCAGAGATCATTTAGTCCGAGCTTATTTTCAGGGGGAAACTGAGGCCCAGAGAGAAGTGACTTGTACAGGTTGGCACAACTAGCCAATGATAGAGTGAAGAACTGTATTCAAGTCTTGGGTCCCTCAGTCTTGGGCTCTTTCCAGCTGATTCATTTGTTTAGTCATATCAGACTCTATGTGACCCCTTTTTTGGGTTTTCTTGGCAAAGATATTGGAGTAGTTTGCCACTTTCTTATCCAGCTCATTCTACAGATGAGGAAACTGAGGCAAACTGGGTTAAGTCACTTGCCCAGGGTCACATAGCTAGGAGGTGTCTGAAGGCCAGATCTGAACTCGTGTCTTCCTGACTCCAAGCCTAGTGCAGAATGAAAAACAAGGTCATATTGGAACTCACATCTTCCTAACTACAGGCCTGGGGCTCTATCCACTGCGCCAACTAGTGGCCAAGGTGTAGAAAAGGTCAAAGAGTCCGGTTTCAAATCCCAGGTCTTCCACTCACCTGTGTGAAATTTGGGAAAAGCTATTTAACCAATTCAAGTCACAGTTTCCTTATCTGTAAAATAAGGAGACTGGACTAGATCATCTCTAAGACCCTTTCCAGCTCTCAAATTTAGTTTTTCTAATTCTGAATATATGAGAGGAGAGGCCATCTTTTGTGGAAGCAGGGGGATGGACAAGATGACCTTTAAGGTGCCTTCCCATTCTATGATTCTCCCCTGATGATGCCTGCGTCACAGGGAGGTTGGTGATGGCCTATTGTGAGGATTGCTTAATCCAGTTCTGAAGAGATTGCTTTCCTGCAAAAGGCCAAGGACATTAAAATGACCTGTTCTTTGGAAATTCAGGTGTTGTTTCTATTCTGGCCACTGAGTAGCACCCTTGGTTCACTGAATCACTGCTGTCTCTGTGCCTGGAACTCTTTCGAAAGCAATCTGTACCGCTTTCAGATTACCTAGCAGAGCAGGTCTGAAGTTCCTTCCCTGGCTGGACATCACTTGGTCCCTACAATCTCTGCATGAGATTGTCTCCACTGTGAGGAGGAAGCTATCATTTCTAGGTTTAAAATTTGCCCATTCCCTTCCATGATGGGAAAGCTTGGGATTGAGTGTGAGATGCCCATCATTCATGAGCTAGGAAGACCAGTTCAGAATGGGGACATGGGGGTGAGCCTGGGAGGGAAGAGAGAACCTGGAATTGTTATTCACAGAATTTAGAAATGACTTTCCCAAGGTCTCATGTAGCAAGTTTGTGACAGAGCTAAGACTCAAACCCAAGTCTCCTAACTCTCAGCCTATGCTCATTCCACAATTCCACTGTATTCCCTAGGCAGAGAATGACCCCCAAACCTCCTGCATCTGTGTAGTGGGAAAAGCCCCGGAAGGGGCATGAAAAGGCTGGATTCTAAACCTCCCTCTGTCACTGAACTAGCGGAATTACTCTGGGCAAGTCATTGAAATCAGCTGAATTCCTTCATCTGTCGAGTGCTTGTCTGTTGTTCCTTCTGTATAACAAATAATAAAGAAATGGAATGAAAACCAAACTAGCTAACTAACTAAATAAAATGGGACTGCCAATCTCACCAAGTTGGTGTAGGATCACAGGATGAGAGGTAGGCTCATAGGCAGGCTCACTGAATTAGAATAGGAAGGAGTCTTAGAGCTGTATATGAGGGTATTTGGAGGATGTGAAATCAAAGGTATTTCTATTTTGGGGAAACATCAGAGGCAGATTATCCTGCTTTGTAAATAGCTTGGGGTTGGACGTTGCCAAAGAGGATGCTGAAAATTGCATTCCCTTCCAAGGCCTGTGGGTTCACTCTGACATAGGTCAGTAACTCACCTCTAAGGCACATTTATCTATATGGTCAAAGCGTGTAGTTAAGAGCCATGCTGAATCACATTCTAGAAACAAAGGGTGAGTTAACATTTCCAGAGGTATTGAAGGTATGCCAATGGATTAATCCAAGAGGACACGGAATGGTATTGATCTTATTCTATATTTGTCCGGAAGGTGCCAGATAAGGGAAAGTGACCTCTGTGGGACCCAGGAGAGAATTTCTTCAGTCTCTCAGATGGGGAGTGGAGTGAAGGATCAGAACTTCCTGGGGGTGTTACCTTGATCCCTGCGTTGAACATGGTGAGAGCCACAGTGGTTCGGATCATTGCATTAATGACAGGACTTTTCTCAAGTATTCTGAAATAGGAGGGATCGAGGTCAGACATCAGGAAGAACTGCCCAACAGAGAAGAGGTATAAGAGGTGTTGAGAGCGACGAGCAAGAGGAATGTGGGGAATAAGTCCTCTCTGAACCAGGGAAATCTTAAAGACTGAAGGGCTGCAATCCATATGGGCTACAGGCAATGCCCTTTTGGAAGGAGGGAGTTGGTCAATTTAGGGCTGTTTGGACAGGAGATGCTTAAATAAGAGTGGGAGGCGGGGGAAAGGGGACAAGAACTCTACCTGCTCACAATAGGTCCAAATATCCACAGGTTGGTCAAGACGATATTCATTGGGAAGCCAAACTAAGAGGTGAAAGAGCCTGGTTAGCAGAATTTCCAGAGCCTGGTGCAAAGGGGTTGGCATGTGAGGGTCAGTGTGTCTGAGGTCAGGATCTCCCAGTAATCTAGGTCTACTCCAACAATGCATATTGGGGCCCCTGTGATCAAGACCTGGCTGGGCGTTGCTGGCTCTGTCAACACTGGGAAACAATAAGCATAAAGCTGTGATTACCCATCTGAGTTTGTCTGTCTGGTTAATGGACACGGTCAAACTGATCTCCCAAGGGGCACACAGTAAGCTTGCATTGCTGGGTGTGGAGAAGGAATAGCTCCCACCTGAGGCTCTGGATCAACCCAACATTATGGTATTGGTGTGGGAACTGGGGGGAGTGGACAGCGGGTCACCTTAGCCATAGCTTAGGCCTAGACAAGAATGAAGGGAGGACAGAGGATCCTGCAGCCCCAGATGATACAACCATCTTTTCCTCAGAAAAGAGCTCCTCCCCCTCCCCTGTTTTCTGTGGCCTTCCCAGACCCATACCTGTCCTGCAAGCTGCTCTAGCATGTTCTTCTCAGTCCCGTATCCAAACATATTAGGCATTGGGGTTTGCTCCAGCCTGAAAAAGACATGTTTCTCTCAGACATGCTGAGTGGCAGTGTGGGGGCATGGAGAGGGTGTTGGACTGGAAGTCAGGAACACTTCCCCACTCTTGCCTCAGATGTTATCTATGTGATCACGAGCAAGTCACTTAACTGCTCTCAGCCTCAGTTTCTCCTCTGTAAAATGGAGTTAATAATAGTACCTGCCTCACAGGAGTGATTCAGGGATCAAATGAATGTCCTCAAGTACTTGGAGAAAGCACAAGAATAAAAACAGAAAAAAAGTCTTGCATAGCAAACAGCTTCCACTACCAAAGTTCCCTTGGTTCTGATGTTAAACTTGTCTCTTCATTTACTTTTGTTCTTTCTCTCCTATCCCTTTAATCTGGTTTCTGATCATCTGCTTTGTATAACCGGATCCACCTAACCCTAACCCAATCAGGCTTGCCCCTGATTGAACCCATGCACAACCCCAAATAGACTGATCATTCCATTTTCAGTTACTAGTTCTTCTTTATCACCTGGCATGACCTATGGTACAGTCTTCCCAGGCCTGAAATGGGGAGAGCCTGGGTTTCCCGAGTAAGCCCTTGCTGAGGGTACAAGGCAGGGAAAGACCACTCACCGGCTGACGGCTGCTGCGAGGATGCCAATGCTCGTCTCCTTCGGTGGGGCCGAGGAGTGGCCTGGAGCAGAATCTACCTGTAGCTTGAGGTTCATGCCACCTTTCTCTGACACTGCAATCCTGGAAGGATAGCATCAAATTCAGTAAACACTTAGTAAATGCCAACTATGTGTAGGGCACTGAGCTAGGCCCTGGGGAACTATAAAGTTTAGCTCGGATACAAACCCTGACATTGAGGAGTTTGCAGTCTAGTAGGGGGATATGACATATGCATAAATAACTACAATTACAAAATAGCACATAAATGAGAGGTTCAAGCAAAGTCTGGGTGGAGGGTATGGAAGATCGTTGCTAACCAGAGAGGAAGATCAGGGCAGGCTTCCTCAAGGAAGTGACAAGTCAAACCACCATCATCCTCTTGGCCACCATCCCTCTTCAGACCCTAATGAAGACAGCCTAGGACCCTGAACACAAAAGCCTCAGGAAAAGAAATGCTCCTGGCCCAGTGGCCTCAGCCATCATGCTTGGAATCAGATTCTGTGGAGATGCAGCCTGGTAACTGTTCCTGCAGGTGCTACGACCACAGCTACTGAAGACACAGAAAAGAAAGCTCTTCCCACCAAAGTCCTTGGCACTGTCAAATGGTTCAACATTAGAAAGTGATAGGATGTTATCAGTGGAAATCTGCTTTACCACTGCACCCTAAGGACCATGGGACTTTTCCACCTGACCTGCAGCTGCAACTTTTCACATATTAACTCCTCCATCAGAATGTGGGCTCTTTGAGAACAAGGGACTGCCTTACCTTTCCATTTGTCCCCTCAAGGCTTATCACAGTGCTTTGCACATAGTAGGTGCTTAATAAATACTTTATTCATTCATGGAGTTGGGCTTTAAAGAATGGACAGGAACAGTGTAAATGGAAAGAATGAAAAAGATCAAAACTAAACTGAAGCTGTGTATAATGACCAAATTTGGTCCGGGTGAAAGAGCTGAGAAAATGCATGCCTCTCCCTTCTTTGCTGATGGGGACAATGGGTGTTGAATAGAGCACGTGGTATCTAATCTGTCTGATGTGCCAGTCGTTTGCTTGCTCCTTTTTTCACTCCTTTTTGTTTTACGTACATACATGTATGTATACATATATACATACATATATTGGGTTATTTTTATTTTTATGGCCTGATGGATTGCAAAAACAAAAGTATCAATAGAAATTAAATAAACCAAATTAAGACTCCTCCCAATAAAGAGTGGATGGAAAATCAACAGGCAATGGAGGCAGTAGAGTGGGCAGTTGTCAGGAACATTCTATACGCAGGAAGCAGAATCAACAAAATTCTGCAAGTGGGAATGCCCAGGGTGGGCACAGGGGACAGATAGTGGTCTAGTCTGGCTAACACATCATGTACATAAGGAGGAGTGGCATGAGAAGATTGAAAAGATAGGGTGGTACCTGACTGTAGAGGGCTTTGAATGCCAGGCTAAGGAAATTGAAATTTACTCAGTAAACAACAGAGGATTATCGAAAGGTTTTGGACAGAGAAATGACCTGACTGGAATCTGCCTGGGATCCTTCTAAGGTTCTGATTGGGTGTCAGTCATGTGTTGCTCAGAACTCAGGTTGAACAATGAGATGGAATGGAAAGCTATTGGACTCAAGGAAGGAAAGGCAGAAAGGGGCCAGAAGAAGATATGCCAGGATGGCCTCAAGTCCCTAGGCTCCAGGGGCAGAAGGAAATAGATAGGACCCCTTCCAGACATGGTTCTGAGAAGACCAGTCCAGTGGGAGGAGCGAGAAGTTGGGGTGATTTTACTCACACTGCAAACGGTTTCTTGAAGCCAGCCAAAAAGCCATCCATGATATAGCTTCCCTCATCTATGATGAAGGACAGCCGGACACCACGTGACTCCAGTAGGGCTGCAATCTTCTGTGCTCCATATTTCCCAGATACCTGCACACATCACAGACCCAGACCCATGTCCCTTCCAAATCTGATCTCTAGAGGGGTATGTGTGTGTGTGTGTGTGTGTGTGTGTGTGTAAGAAGAGGGAGGGCACATATAGCCTAGTATGGCAAATCCAAATCCTTCAGCACCCTCTTTATTTTGCAGAGGATAGGAGCTAGGTTTTGGAAGATTTTGCCTCATACCCATCTGCTGGGAGGTCTGCTGTTGGGAAAGAACCGTGATATTCTCACAGCTGAAGGACAAATAGAAATGGCTTAAGATCTAAGGCCCTAGGGAACTCATCACTCTGGGGAGCCATCCTGAGTCCTTGGGGGCTCTGTTAATGGATTACCTCCTCATCATGTCCTAGGGAAATGTAGAAAGACCTTTGAGGGACATAGTTTCTTCTCAACAGCAGTTCCATGGCCTGCAGGATTGCCTGAAGGGCATAAGCACAGAGGAAGGACAGGGAGGCTGTGAGGAAGAGCTACCGGGAAAAGTGAACCAGGAGAGTAATGCCATTTGGTCAGATTTCCCCAGGATTAGGATTTGGAGATCAGAAAACCTCTTGACAGGATGGGCAAATTTACATCGCATCAGGGCATTTGGGGCAGTTTCCAAGAGAATAAGGCTGCTAGAAGAAGAGAGAACCCAGTGGATTTCCCCTGTTCTCTGGGAAAGTAAGAGATTCTCAACACTGGGCAAATGCCTGAATGCCTCCTCCCCTCCACAACCATTCTGGGTATTGTGAGGCAAACCATAGCAGAGTTTTTGTTGTCCAGTGTGCCCCGGCCATAGATGAAGCCATCGCGCTCTAGCCCAGAGAAGGGTGGCACCTCCCAGCCATCGTCAGGAGCAGGGACAACGTCAATGTGAGCAAGCAGCATGTAGGGCTCCAACTTGGGATTTGATCCATGGATGGTGAACAGGTGGCTGTATTTTTCCACAATCTCATGCTGGATGAAGCTAGTGGAGAACATGGAAGGGAAGACTAGGGGGAAAGAAGAGAGAGTGAGAGAACAACAGAGAGTGAGAAAGAGTGAGAGAGAGTGAACAAGCAAGAGAGAGAGAATAACTTCTTTCTTCTTGGCCATCATACTCCATACAGTACCCTCCTTTTAAACTATAGCTCAGGGCAATCACCTCTAGGAAGGCTTCCTGGGCTAATCAAGTCCATTGTCTTTTTTTTTAAAATTCAATTTTATTTTATTTTCAGTTCCAAATTCTCTCTTCCCCTTCCTTCCACCTCCCCCACCTAGTAAGAAGGCAAGAAAAATAAAACCTATTAAAATATGTATAGATATGCAAAAAAATCCACATTATCCATATTTCCAAAAAAAGCCAGAAATAGAAGAGAATATGCTTCAGTCTGCACTTTGAGTCCATTAGTTCCCTATCTGGAGGTAGATAGCATGTTTCCTTATGACTCCTTTGGAACTATGGTTGGGCATTGTGTTGATGAGAGTTACTAAGTCTTTCAAGGTTGACTATCTTTGCAATATTGTTACTGTATAAATTGTCCTCCTGTTCTAATCACTTCACTTTGCATCAGTTTATACAAGTCTTTCCGTGTTTCTCTGAAACCATTCCTTTCTTCATTTCTTATAGCACAATAGTATTCCATCACAATCAAAACCATAACTTGTTCAGCCATTCCCTAATTGATTGGAATCCTCTCGGTTTCCAATTCTTTGCTATTACAAAAAGAGTCGCTATAAATATTTTTATACCTATAGGCCCTCTTCCACTTTCTTTGATCCCTTTGAGGTATGGTCTTGCTGAGTCAAAGGGCATGCAATTTAATGGCTTTTTGGGCATGGCTCCAAATTGCTTTCTAGAATGGTTGGACTAATTTACAGCTCTACCAACAGCTGAGGATCTATTTTCCCATATCCCCTCCAGCATTTGTCATTCTCCTTTTTTGTCATCTTAGCCAATCTGATGGATGTGAGGTAATGTGCACATTTCTCTAATAATTAGTGATTTAGAGCATTTTTTCATATGGCTATTGATAGCTTTACTTTCTTCCTCTGAAAATTACCTATTTATGTTTTTTGACCATTTATCAGTTGAGGAATGGCTCATATTCTTTTGAATTTGACTCATTTTCCTATATGTTTTAGAAATTAAACCTTTATCAGAAAAACTTGCTGCAAAGATTCTGTACCCCCCCACCCATTTCCTGCTTTTCTTCTAATTTTAGCTGCATTGGTTTTGTTTGTACAAACCCTTTTTATTTTATGTAATCAAAATTAACTATTTTACCGTCTGTGAATCTCTCTATCCCTTGTTTGATCATGAACTCTTCCTTTATCCATAGATCTGATACGCGATTTCTTCTATGCTCCATGAATTTTTTATGATTATCATTTTTTATGTCTAAATCATGTATCCATTTTGAGCTTATCTTGGTATTTAGTGTGAGATTTTGATCTGTGCCTAGTTTCTGCCAGACCACAAAAAAAATTTCCCAACAATTTTGGTCAAATTAGTTCTTGTCCCATTAGTTGGGATCTTTGTTTTTTTCTAACACTAGATCATTGTGCTCATTTACTTCTGTATATTGTGCAATTAGTCTTTTCCACTGATCAATCTCTCTTTCTTATACAATATCAAATTGTTTTTGTGATTATAGCTTTGTAGTACAGTTTGAGATCTGGTACAGTCAGTCCCCCTTTCTTCATCTTCTTTTTTTACAAAATTGATTCTCATGATGTTTTTGACCTTTTGTTTCTCCAGATGAATTTTGTTACAATTCTTTTTCTAGTTCTGTAAAGCAATTCTTTGATCATTTAATTGGCATGGTCCTGAATAAGTAAATTCATTCAGGTAGTATTGATACTTGTATGTGGCAGGTTATTGTTCAGTCATGTCAGATTTTTTGTGACCCCATGGACCATATTGTCCATGGGGTTTTCTTGGCAAAGATACTAGAGTGGTTTGCCATTTTTTTTTTCTCCAGTGGATTAAAGCAAAAAGAGGGTATGTGACTTACTTGGGGTCACCCAGCTAGTAAATGTCTAAGGCTGGATTCCAGGACCAGAGCTCTATCCACTGAGCTACTTAACTGTCTCCTGTGTAACAAGTAGATCCCCCTAAGTATTTTATATTGTCTATAATTATTTTAAATGGAATTTCTTCTTCTATTTCTTACTGTTGAGTTTTGTTGGTAACATAGAGAAATGCTGATGTTTTGTGGTGATTTATATCCTGAAACTTTGCTAAAGTTGTTAATGATTTTGATTAGTTTAGGGCTCTCTAAGTAAACCATCATATCATCTATAAAGAGTGATAGTTTCATTTCTTCAATGCCTATGCTTATTCTTTCAATATCTTTTTCTTCTCTTACTGCGATGGCTAACATTTCTAGTACAATATTGAATAGTTATGGTTTTAACAAACATCTTTGCTCTACTCCCCATCTTATTAGAAAAGCTTCTAGCTTATCCCCATTACAGATAATGCTTACTGTTGGTTCTACATCAGGGGTAGGGAACCTGCAGCCTTGAGGCCACACGCGGCCCGTAGGTCCTCAAGTGCCACTCTTTGAATCCAAACTTCACAGAACAAAGAGGTGGGAACCTGGGGCTTCAGGTTCGACACCCCTGTTAATCTAGATACTACTAATCTAGATAGATACTACTTATCATTTTAAAGGAAACCATTTATTCCTGTGCTAACTTTTTTTTTTTTCACGAGAATGGTGTTGTATTTTCTCAAGTTTTTTCGGCATTAACTGAAATAATCATGTGATTTTTTTTGGTCTCTAACACAGTCAATTATGCTTAAAATTTTCCTAATATTGAACCAGCCTGCATTCCTGATATTAAATTCAACGTGACTGCTATATTTATGATTTTTGTGATTTATTGCTGTAATCTCCTTGCTAGTATTTAATTTAATTTTTTTTTGCATCAGTGTTCATTAGGGTAATTGATGTATTGTTTTCTTTTTCTGTTTTGACCTTCGCTAGTTAAGGAAGGTACCAAGACCATATCTGTGTCATAAAAGGAATTTGGTAGGATTCCTTTTTTTTTAAACCTATCTTTTTAAACAGATTGTACAGCATTAGAATTAATTATTCTTTAAGTTTGGCAGAATTCACTTGTATTCTACTTCCTGTTCTGTCTGGGTAGTTTATAATTTTGTAAAATTCATCTATTTCATTAAGATTGCCAGTTTTAGGGGCAGCTAGATGGTGCAGTGGATAGAGCACCAGCCCTGGAGTCAGAAGGACCTGAGTTCAAATCCGGCCTCAGACACATAACATTCACTAGCTGTGTGACTCTGGGCAAGTCACTTAACCCCAACTGCCACAAAAACAAAAAAAAAAGATTGTCAGTTTTATTGGCATATAGTTGGGCAAAATAGCTCCTAATAATTGTTTTTATTTCATCTTTATTGACTGTAGATTTACTTTTTTCATTTTTGATAATTAGTAATTTGGTTTTCCTTTTCCTTTTAAAAAATCAAATCATCAAAAATCAAATTCTTAGCCAAATTATCCATTTTATTATTTTTTTCCTAAAAACAAAACACCAAGATGTTTTATTCATTCAATGTTTTTTTCTCTTTCAATTTTGTTAATCTATCTTTTGATTGTCAGGATTTCTATTTTAGTGGTTTTGTTTTGGTTTTTGGTTAGGCAGTGGGGTTTAAGTGACTTGCCCAGGGTCACATAGCTAGTGAGTGTCAAGTGTGTGAGGCCACATTTGAACTGAGGTCCTCCTGACTCCAGGGCCAGTGCTCTATTCACTGTGCCACCTGGCTGCCCTCTATTTTAGTATTTAATTGGGGATTTTTAATTTGTCATTTGCATGCTCAAGTTTCTCTCTCTTTCATACATTTTATACATTTTCCACTAAGTATTGCTTTGGGTACATCTCACAAATTTTGGTATGTTGTTACCTTTGTAATGAAATTATTGATTGTTTCTATGATTTGTTCTTTGATTCACCTGTTCTTTAGAATGAAGTTATTTACTTTCTAATTAATTTTTAATCTGCTGCAATGGTTCTTTACTGAATGTGATTTTTATTGCATTATGCTCAGAAAAGGTACATTTAATATTTCAACTTTTCTGCATTTGTTTGTAGATTGTTATGCTTATGGTCAATTTTTTTGAAGGTGACATGCATAGTTGAGAAATAGGTATACTCCTTTCTATTCCCATTCAGTATTTTCCAGAGGTCTATCATATCTAACTTTTCTAAAATTCTCTTCATCTCCTTAACTTCTTTCTTGTTTATTTTATGGTTAGATTTATCTAAATCTGATAGTGATAAATTGAGCCCCCCCATTATAATTTTACTATTTCCTCCTGTAAGTTATTTAACTTTCCCTTTAAGAATTTAGATATTATGCTATTTGGTGAATATGTGTTCAGTATTAATATTAATTCATTACTATGGTACCTTTTAATAAAATGTAGTTTGCCTGTTTGTCTCTTTTATGTGGTCTATTTTTGCTTTGCTTTGTTTCACATTGCCTGAAGCCTAATAGATTCTGCTCTAGCTCCTTATTTTAACTCTATATGTATCTTTCTATTTCAAGTGTATTTCTTGTAAACAATATTATATTGGATTCTGGTTTCTAATCCATTCTGATATCATTTTCCATTTTTTGGATGAGTTTGTTAACTATGTATTTCCTTCCATCCTATTTTATTAAACATCTCTCTCTCTCTCTCTCTCTCTCTCTCTCTCTCTCTCTCTCTCAACTCTTCTCTCTTATTCTGACCCCTTTTTAAGAGTCTGTTTTGCACTTGATCACTGCCTCTCCTAATCTACCTTCCCTCTTGTTCTATCCCTCTCTCCCTTTTTTTGGACCCCTTCCCTGTTGGGTAAGCTGAATTATTGTACTGAATTCTATGTACATGTATTCTCCCTTTTTGAACCAGTTCAGATGAGAGTGAGGTTCAAATGTTGCTCAATTACCCCTCCCCACATTGCTGCCTCCATTGAATAAATTCCTCCTTTTATGCCCTATTTATGTGAGATAATTTTCCCCAATTTTTTCTGTCTCTCTTTCCTCCTCTCCCCAACTTTCTATTCTTCTTTTGAGATCATCTAAACATACCATATTCACATGCAGGATCCAATACATTCTGAGGGGTTACATGTATCATCTCTAAGTCCATTTTCCAACCTGCTAGCATACTCTGTGACTTTACATCTTCTCCCTTTTAGCTGTGTAACAATATTTCTGATAAAGAATGCCTGTCAGAGCTGTCCTATTAAATCTCCACATTTGATGGGATCAACTTATTATTATTATTATCATTTTAACATAAAGCTGTAGGATTTTATATTTGGAAAGGACCTTGAAGACTGTAGTCTAACACCCTCGATTTACAGATGAGGAAACTGAGGTTCAGTGAGGAGTGGTCAGAGATTCAAACTTAGGCCCTCTGATTCTAGATTCCACGTTCTTTCTACCACACCACACTACTTGATGTATCATAGGCCACTGACCGGTAGACTGCTGTAGGCACAATGACCAGAACATAGTAGGACCTTAATAAATAATTACTGGCTGACTTGTAAGTGACAAATAAGTAAGAGTACCAACTACTGTATCCAAAAACTTTCGAAGCGGGTTTGACCCTAATATATACAAATCCAAGGAGTTCAGAGTGTTGTCTCAGGATCTCTTCTTGAGTTCTAAGGCAGTTCTCTAGAATATAGACATCTCAAAGGATGCTTTTTGTAAACTAAGTCATATAGAAACTCCAGTGGCTCCATGATTTCAATGTTATAAGTACTCCCTCCAAGAGTGCCTATTACACTCCATCTATCCCCACTCATTTTGCGCAACTCTTGTTCATCATCGTCCACAAATGAGACATGGGATCCACTCAGTGCTGTGGTTCCCTTGAATTACTGGCCTGCTGGTCTTTTTCTTTATTCTCTTCTTTTTTATTCCCTACTTATTTTATTTTTCAGTTCTTATTTTCTCTCTCTTCCCTCAAATAAAAAAAAGAAAGAAAAAGAAAAACAAAACCCTTCCAATAAATATGCATAGTGAAACAAAATGAATTCCTGCATTTGGCCCTCCAGTCTCCCTTGATCTTCCAAAGAGGAAGAAAACAGTACTTTTCTTTCTTTCCCTCATTCTCCCCCCAACCTTTGCACCTAGACTAGAAGCAGGAAACTCTTTGCCATTAGGGGATTTGGGGAGGACTAGTCCCCTCAATTGGTCTTGCAAATCTAGAAAAGAAGGTGTCCACCCTTAGCGTGAGGTATTAGCTCACAGGAAATGGTGACACAATTAACTCACTATTCTAGAAACTTGCACAGACAGAAGAAATGCCTTTGGGTTATGCCTTTAGGTTGTTCTAGTTGGCTTCCTGACAAGCAGAACTGGGGCAAAGAATGGAGAAAAACTCCAAACATGTGATAATCCTTCAAAGATCAAAATGACCAATTTCTGATCTTTCTCACCTCCCCCCATAATGAATAGGGAAAATTCTCATCAACCCAGCCTCTCTCTATCTCCAAGGTAAGAATTTAGCCAAAGACAATGAACTCTTCTGGCCTAATTAAGAATCAACAGTCATGATCCATCCTGGACCAGGGACCTTGGGCAATCAGCTCTGAAAAGGGACAGAGTCTCAAGAGCAGTGACCCTGTCCCTGTCATTTCCACATCTGGAGCTGTTCATGCTGTTACCTTTCCGAAGGTGTTCCCCAAACTCAGTCAGGGCTGTGGTGTTGATGTTCTCAGAGCTGAAAGCCACTGTGGGTATCCGAATTGCTTCTGTTGGGAGTTGGAAGAATGAAAACCACAGGTTAAAATTCACTAATAGGATTTCAAGTGGAAAGGTTTCTTTTTGGTGATTTTTTGTCCAGTTCCTTCATCTCAAAGATGAGGAAAATGGGGCCTGGAGATTGGAAGTGATTTGTTTAAGAGCTCTCTAGTGTCAGAGCCAGGATTCCAAGCCAGCATCTTCTGACTTTAAATTGAACACACCTTCCATTAGACCATGAAGTTTCTTCTGTATAAACACCTAGTAGAGGATCTGTGAACATACTTTCAGGTTCATGATCAGTCATTCCATTCTTGTGCCCAACTTCCTGAGAGATACAAAGAACTCTGTATCAGATGTTAAGAGTGGAGTACAGTGTGATCTAGTGCAAAGGTGGCTAGATTTGGAGTCTGAGGACCTGGGTTCAAATCCTGGCTCTGACATTTACAAGCTGTGAAACTCTGGGCAAATCACTTCAAGTCAGTGGGCCTGTGAGAAATGAAAGAGTTAAGTTTCCACATAAGTAGATAAGAAATCAGCACAGACAGGCTAACTTTTCCGTGTGTGTGTGTGTGTGTGTGTGTGTGTGTGCGTGTGTGTGTGTGTGTGACAACACAATTCCAGGCACATGATGTATGTTCAGGGTGGAGCATATAAGGAAGAGTGTAACCCAGAAGGGTTAGAACCAATCCTGATACAGAAGGGAGGAGTCAGGCAATTACTAACTATAAAGCTTGCTCTGGCTTCTTTACTCACGCACTCTCCCCTTCAAAGGAGGTGTGCCCGTTTCTCACAAGAATCAAAAGGAGGAACTTCAACCTCTTTAATAAAAAGTCTTTGAGACACCAGTCTTTGGAACTGAGTCTGGGGTCATCTTTCTAACAGGCCTCGCTGTTCTCTGTAATATGAGGGGGTTGGACTAATGATCTTAAGGTCCATCCTGGTTCTGGCTTTCTGACTCTGTGATCCTATGAAATAGAAGACTGGGGAGCTAGTGAACCTTGGCCACTGCCTATGAGATCAGCATAGATCTAAATCCCCACTGGCCCACTCAACCACAGAGTTAGAAGGGACTCCCAAGGCCACATAGCCCAATCTGCTGTTGAAGGAAAGAAAAATTAATACTCTACTGTTTGTTTTAGGGACAAGTTGACCAGAAACAATTTTGTTTAATTTAACATTAATCTGATATCCAAACATTTCTAGTTTGGAGAGAGAGAGATGTCTAAATTGATGTAGTACTCCCTTTCCCCCAATACTCTCCAACATGTCTCTATCCCAAGATGACTTGAGGTAAAGAAATCTAGAAGGAGGAGGAAGAGTAAGAGAAGGAGAAGGAGGGGAAGGGCAAGAAGGAGGAGGAGGTGGAGAAGATACAATTGTTAATGGGTTAACATTCCAGAATAATTGAATAACAAAAGTGGGGATCCCATTCCTGGGATCAGTTCCCTCAAGGATTAAAAGGGATCAAAATGATGAGGATGGGATGTGGACCCCAGAAAGGAAAAACCCTGGACTTTCCCACAAGGCCAAATCTCTTGCTTGAGTTGTATAGCCTAAAGCTATAATCCCATCAACTGGCCTTTCATTGTGGCTAAACCCAATCTCTGTTACCCTTAACCTAGCCTGGCCCTCCATTGTCTCACCTCCCTATGGCCTCCCTCCTCTTCCCCACCCCCACTTCCCACCCTTAATGCCAGCTAGGCTCAATTCTCCCTTGGCCTCGTGGTCCAGGTCCCTGGAGTTCTATTACCTAATAGACTACTTGGCCACTCCTAGATCCCTCCCACAGTCTTTCTGTATATAAGGTCCATCTTGTCTCCATTAAGATCCTCAGATTCTTATAATCTAGCCATTCCTCAGATTCTTATAATTTAGCCAAAGGCTTGGATTCTTAAAATCTAGCCAATAGCTTATTAATGTTCAGATTCCTTAAGAGTCTGCCCAATATGACGGATGTTCTAATAAACCTTGTCTTTGGCTGAAAGAAGGCTTGGGTTGAATTCTTTCAGACAGAATCCACATGTTGTGATTTTGGGGTCCCAGAACCCCTAAACCTCATCAAAAATACCTATTCAGAATTTTTTAATGAATAACAAACATTTGACTGACATGTCAGCCAATAAACATTTATTAAATCCCTACTATATGCCAGGTTATTATGGCAAATGGTGGGGATACAAAGAAAGTTAAAAGACAAGTCTTTACTTTCAAGAAGTTCACAATCTAATGGAGGAAACAACATTTAAATAAGTATGTACAAACAACCTATGTACAGGATATATTGGAAATAATAAACAGAAGGAACTAGAATGAAAGAGAATCAGAAAAGGCTTCCTTTACAAGGTGGGATTTTAGCTGGATCTTGAAGTAAGCCAAGAAAGCTAGGAGGTGGAGATGAGAAGGGAGAACATTCCAGGCTAGATACTAGTGTGAGAGATGATCTCTCAGAAGTGAAGCCTCCTCAAAGGGTCAATAGTTCTTGTTAATGGTTCTTGTATTGTTGTTTTCAAAACCCTCCCCCACTCAGACCCTGTTTTTAAGTACTTAGCAGAAAGAATAGCCTTACCCCTAACCTGAACTGCTTGCCCTTGAAAAACTTCCTGCCTTTTCTTGTCTCTGGGCAAACTTGTGTCTCCGTGAATAGATTGTGCCCCCTGAAAGCCCAGCCAATGGGATAAGGGGAAGAGGGTTGGGGAGGAGGAGTTCGAGTTAGGGTATAAATAAGCCTTGATTTCTGTAACGAACTTGTGCTCTCCTGGCTGGCAATGGCGACCAGGGGCGGTACCCTTTCTCATGAGAAAGCAATAAACTCCTTTCTACTTTCAAGGTATCTAAGTCTTTGTTTTTATTTTTGAGAAAGTGGTCTCTGTCCCACATACTAGTCAGTGAAAATGCTTGGAGTAAGGAAATAGTGTCTTGTTTGAGGAACAGCAAAGGGGCTGGAATCCCTTTCCCTTTGAATGGAATAGAGAATTTCCTAAGGTGAGTCTGCTTCAAGTGTTGGGGAAGGTAAGAGCCTAAATAAGACAAACTACAGTGTCCATACTTAATCTATTCCCTTATGAAAAAGTCTTTTTAACTTTGTCATTCTCCTTTCCAAGGAGGGCAAATCTGGAAAAGATTTTAGATCAGAAATAATATTTTTAAAACCTTTTCAGTTTTGCTAAAATGGAAGTTTTCAATATTCTTCTGTACAATAGAAGGGATTCTTGGCTATGTATAATCATGAAACCATGCTGACTGGGCTCACTACAAATTTATATTACATAATCTCAACCAGGCCTTCATTGAAGCAAGGCAATCCTTTCACAGCTCCCTGATTAGCTCACTCTCCCACTCTCCAAAGCAGTTCTTCCAAACCTTTTCATCTCTTCTGGAACCTCCCATGCCTCTCTCTCTCTCTCTCTCTCTACCCTCTCAGTTGAGAACCTAACCTCATATTTCATGGAAAAAAATTTAGGCCATTGAAAGAGAGCTCCTTCAACCCTGTTCCTCATCTCACATCACTCAGAAGCCTTCTTCCACCATTTCCTCCTTCACTCCTGTCTCACATGAAGAGGAGGCCCTTCTCCTTACCAAGACAAATCCTCTACAGGCACAAATGTTCCCATTCTATTCCATCTTCTCTAGCTGATCATGTCCTTCATCATTTCCACCCTTTCACCTATGTTCGATTTCTCCTTGTCTACTGACTGCTTCCTTGTTGCTTACAAACATGTCCTTGCCTCTCCCATGAACCCTTCCCGAGATCTGTTTATTTCCATTAGCTAACATCTCCTAGAACTTCTCTCTTCTGGCTAAACTTCTTGAGAAAGCTGACTGCAATAGGTGTCTCCACTTCATTTCCTCTCGTTCTCTTTTTAACTCACTACAGTCTGGCTTCAGTCTCATTGTTCAATCAAAACTGCTCTCTCCAAAGTTACCAATGATTTCTTAATAGCCAAATCTGGCTGGTAAGGGCCCTGGAAATCCCCCCTAGAACTTCCTTGAACTTTCCCACTTGGTCAAGTCTCTGGTGTTCACCTGAGGCATCTACCCATCCCAGTCAACAAGCCTTTCATTGTCTGTACCTGGCCCTACCCTAGACCTCCACTCCTAGATCCTATCTAGACCCTCAGTCTCCCTTGGCCAAGTGGTCCAGGTCCCTGGTGTTCCCTGTCCTTCTCTGTTACCTCCCAGTCACCCCAGACTACTTGGCCACTCCTAGATCCCTCCCACAGTCTTTCTGTATGTAAGATCCATCTTGGCCTTCATTAAGGTGCTCAGATTCTTAAAATCTGGCCTAGGTGCTCAGATTCAATCTGGCCAACTTGCATTAGCAATATAAATGTTCAGATTCCTTAGGAATCTGGACAATGTGGCAGATTCTTAAAATCTCACCAACTGTTGATCGATGTTTTAATACACCTTGTCTTTGGCTGAAAGAAGGCTTGGGTCAAATTCATTCAAGCAGGACCTGTGTGTTGCTATTTCAGGGTCCCAGCACCCCCTAAACCTCAACTTTTCAATAGCCTTTTCTCAATTTTCATCCCTCTCTGCAGCCTTAGGTGCCATCAATCACCATCTTCTCCTTCATACTCTCTTCTCTCTAGGTTTTGGAGACATTGCTCTCTCCTGGTTCTCTTACTACCTGTATGACTAGTACCCAGTCTCCTTTGCTGGACCTTTAGCTAGGTCATGGCCCACTAACTGTGGGTGTTCTGAGCCTTCTTCTCTTCTCCCTTTATATAATTTCACTTGGTGCTCTCATCAGCTCCCATGGAGTCAATTATCATCTTTATGCTGATGAATCTCAAATCTACTGGTCCAGCCCTAACTTCTTCCTTAAGTCCAGACTTGTGTCTCCAACTATTAGATATCTCAAACTGGATGTCCTATAGCCATTTGAAACTCAATATACCTAAAATTGAACTCATCATCTTTCCCCCCAAACCTTATCTTCTTCCTAACTTTCTTATTCCCGTCTAGGATATTAGTATTCTCCCAGTCACCCAAGTTGACATCCTGG